GCGAACAGGTCCACCTCTGCTCTCCCGAACCGGGCCCAGAGCTGCTTCACCACTTCCAGGTGAACCTCGACAAGCCCCCCTGTTTTCCAGTCCCGGGATGTGGAGGGCTCTCAAGGATAACACCACCTCTGAAGCCCACAACCACAATTTCTCCGCTGTGGTCAACAGAGTGGCGGAGCAGACTCCGCCCTGCCTGTTGATATATGCCACTGTAGTTCTGTTCCTGACCATTACATGTCTCCCCCGAATTAAGGGTTTGAAATGCTGGGGGACCAACACTACTGCCCGGAGCTCTAGGAGGTTGCTGTGCCGTGTCTCTGTTAGAGACCAGCGCCCACCTATAGCTTCCCTCCCCATCCTGTTCTCCGTGAACTCTTATGCCTGTGAACGGAGGAGGGGTGCTGCAAAACTGCAGTGAATACCCCAGTCTCAGCGTCCTGTCCATCCACTCCGTTAATACACAGTTGCGTTTCCATTCCCCATAACATTGCGTTAGGGGATGTGCAATCAGATGCGGGGCCCCAGCTATAAAGCTGTGGTACTCCCCGGCGACCCACTCCGCCGCAAAACTCCCCGCGAAGGGAAGATCCGCCCATGGGGGGTCGACACCGAAAGGGCAGAGTTTCCACTACGGCCCTTGAACGCACTACGGCCCTTGAACGCACTGCGGCGCGCTCTCGTGGGAGGGAGGCTGTGGCTCAGTGGGATTGTGTGCTGAACTTAGTGCGCTGAACTTTGAATCACGGGGTAGCAAGTTCGAATCCCACTGCAGTCAGCATGTCGTTGTGTCCCTGGGCAAGACACTTCACCCCAAATTGCTCCTGTGGGGGATTGTCCACAGTACTGAATGTATGTAAGTCGCTTTGGATAAAAGCGTCTAACAAGTGACATGTAATGTAATGTAATGTGGGAGCGCGCGCTCCGCCATGACACATTCACCCAGACGGTGAAATGCATTCGGCGAAGTTTTTACACTAGGTGTTTTTTTTTCATTTAATCGTTTATTTGGCAGGGACAATGCACAATAATGAACACTTAAAACATTAAAATGTGTGAAGTGTAACAGTGCCAGATTTAGCTTTGAGCTCATTTCCATGAAACATTTAAGAAAATTACATTTTACAAACATAGTAAAAACAAAATACATGATATGCAAAAAGTGCAAGAGAGCAAGAGCAGCATACACAAGTATTTATGACATGGTAATACAATATAGCAGCAACGACATATAAAGTGCAAGAAAGATAAAAGTGCCACATAAAGTGCAAGAGGAGTTACCCCTGTGTTAAAGTGCATTTAGCGGTGATTGCACGTCTGTTTGTTTCTTAACCATTCTTTTAGTTGACCTTTGAAGCTATTGAGAGTGGGACAATCCCGTATCTCAGTTGGGAGGCTATTCCACAATGAGCTGCCTTTAACGGAGAGGACATTTTGTCCAAAGGTGGACTTCACAGTCTCCTCTGGTTTCGGACCTAGTGCAGCGTGTATTTTCTGTGGATGAATTCCCCTAAGGGAGGGGGGGCCAGTCCATGTAAACATTTATAAATAAAACACATACTTTTAAAAGACTTAGAATTGTCAAAACTCAAGAAATTGTGTTTCTCTAGGATGGTACAGTGGTGATAGATAGATAGATCGTACTTTATTGATCCCAAATTGGGAAATTGTTTCAATGAATAAGGCTATTCTTATAAGGCTTTCTGTCAAACACCTTGATAGCTCTCTTGTACAGCTGTTCTATTGGTTTCAGGTTGGTAGCACAAGCAAACGACCAGTTTGTAAAACAGTATTCAATATGGGATAGAATCATACAGTGGAGGTATGACTTTGCAGCATTGACAGTTAAGAAAGGTCTGATTTGTTTAAAATGTTGCAAGTTGAATTTAATAGTGTTGGATACTTTCTTAATATCTTTCTTAAAAGTCAAGTTCGAGTCCATTATGACTCCAAGATACTTGAAGTGGGAGACTAGTTCTAATTCTGCTCCGTTTAAAAACACATTGGATACTTCGATTTTGACTGGTCGTTTACTGAACATCATGCACACTGTTTTTTTTGCATTTAACTGTAAGCACATGTTGTTCAGCCAGTGTTGAACCTTGTCCGTGTTGTGTGTCTTGGGTGCCCAATTACCATCGTATGAAACGGATCTGGCCGATTTCAGCGAGATATTATGGGGAAAATGTGGAATTGTGGAGAGAGATGACTCTTACTCTGGGATAAATGCATTTGTTTTTACCGAATGCATTTTTCACACACACATCACCTTATGCCCCTGAATGGAGGAGGGACGCGGTAAAACTGGAGTGGAGCCGCAGCTAAGAAGCTGTAGTACTCTCTGGTGGCCTATTCCACCGCCAAACCTTCCATAACAGGAAGATTGGCTCATCGGGGGCCGACACAGAAAGGGCCGATTCTCTACTGAGGTCCTTGAACACACCGCGGCCCGCTCTCGGGGGGGCGCGTCATAATGCCGTCTCTTTGAAACGGACATTATGGGGAAAGGTGGAATTGTGGAGAGGGATGACTCTTACTCTGGGATAAATGCAATCGTTTTTACTGAATGCATTTTTCACACACACATCACACTAGAACTAGGGTTTACAACACGTAATCCACCGTTCTTCTGCGGAGGTCCCTGAACGCACCGCGGCCACTCTCACGGGGGGCGCGCGCCCTCGTATTAACGCTGTATTTCACCACGTGAAATGCATTAATCGGGCTTTTTATACCAGGCAAGGTGTGCTTCCACAGCACACCGGCAATAGCGGCGTGATCCCCCAGGGTCATCACACGGCAGGCAGCTGCGGCGGCCACACTGTAGACCAAGCTACTAATTCGGCCTTGCCAAATACTCGCTCTGATCTGGTGAGGCGGGGGCATCTCTAGCAATGAGCGAGTAGCCCACACACCCGTGTTTATTTGCAGCCGCCCCGTCATGCGGCAACGGGGCAGAGTTCTTTTCAGCTCTCTGCCTAGCCTGCTGCCCGCTGGGAGCAGCTGCGCTCCGCCGCCCTGGTCATCACCCGGGGAGAGTACAGCCCTGGGCGGTGGACTTCCATGGACGCCGAAACCCGGAAGTGCCCGACAACGGCACATGGAGCCATCCACCCGCTGGAATGGCGAACGTGAGATGGCACCGCCTCGGCCATATCCTGGTCCCCCAAACACTCAAAGCAGAGGTGGTGGGGATCGGCGCCCGCTGTTTAAGCCAGGGCACAAAGGACAGGCCCGAGTCTCTAGAAGTGGCGACTCCATGGAGGTACAAACGTCTTTACTTTCTCACTCAGTTGTTTCTCTGCTTGCTGAAGAGAAAGGAATGACAGTCAGGAGGCGAGGCCTCCTTTTATACGGGAGGATATGCGCGCGCATTCAGGTAGGCCCGCCCCGGGGGCCGGCTATGGTTATGAGTCTCAGTCATGGATGTATAATAAGAACTGGATACAGCGTGGGAGGCGGGGCCTCATTCATTCCTATGAGAGTTGCTCATTCGCGCATGATGATAAAATGGCCCAACTTTTGAGAGAGCGAAACGTCACAGATTACCCGGCATGCCTGAGAAGTACCCGTATGTGCGCTCATAGCGCATGCGCAACTCTAACCATGCCCCCCAAAATGCTCGTTCACATCAAGCACGTCAATTTGCGTACACGTAACAGCACCGCACGTTCATGACAGCATGGTAATGGTTTGTTATTATGATAGATTTGATATTAACGAGGCGGCAGTTAGCAGCTAGCGGTTAGCTAGTAATTATGCTAATTTACACATCAATCGTTATGTACTTTTATATTACGCTCATACGCTGTAACAGGATCTAGTGATATCCAAGCAACAGAGCTTCATTTAGCATGAAAGAATTATTGCACTGTATATATATATATGTATATATATATACAGTGCAATAAGCTTCTTAGTGCAATAAGAAGCTACAGGGACGTTAATCTACGTCGGTAATATTAACTTTATTTAATACAACATTTACGGTACAAGATTTAATAATACAGCCCATGTAGTATAATATTTTACAAATGATGAATTACAGCAAACATGTGCAATATATCCATTATTACAGCTCCGTGGGCTGGCAGTAAGGCGATATGGGTCCGTTCTTATTGTGTATCCATGGGTAAAGATAAACGCATGTAGTGCTGAACACGTAACATGAACGTGCCGGGCGGCGCGGTCCCGTGGGTTAAATGCGCGTTCATAATGCAGAGGGATATAACTCTCAGAATAACGTTATTAGCACATTTTTACAACTTGAGGAACGAATGTTTTTAATAAGGGCTATACAAGTGTTCATACTGGGTAGTTTATTTAGTTTAAAAAAAATTATCCAACGATTTACAGACCACTCTTTCCCCATGTAAGTCAATGGGAAAAAGTGTTTCCGGGCCTGGCAACCAAAAGGAAGTGTAGTACCGCTGTTTGGCCAGCACGAATATTTTCATCTGAGTCCGGCGCACTTCCTGGGGGCTTGGTCTCACCGGATGAATGCTTGCATGATTTGATCAAAGGGTAGTACCCATAGAGTCCAGTAGAGGGCGGAGCCTGTGAGAGATATAACAGATTGATACTCATAAACAGAAAGAAGTTGTTTTTGTGTGTGTTGAGGAAAATGTAGATGTTGATGATGACATTATACACAATAAGTAATGCAAGATGTCTTGAAGATTTAAAGATGTTACATCTCTCACATTATTTTGTGTCTCTTTTGTTTGATTGTTGTGAGATTTTGTGGATCCTTTTATCATTTTGTTTTAAAATGTAATCGTTCTTTGTCTCTTTGTAGATGTTGTGTGTCCCTGTCAATCTGTAGACGTTTTGAGACTAATTATTATCGTTTGATGTCAATATGTCGTTTTATTTGTCTACATTTGTTGACTTTTTGCATCCTTTTAAGTAAAAATGTGTAAAGAAAAATACATGTTGTGTGGGTAGATGAACAAGAGTTTACCATTAACTAACAAGCTCCAACCTTTTCCGTCCATTCAAAGCGATGGACTCTGAAGGCATCGGGACGATAGAGGTGGCGGCGCTCGGACGGCCTTTCAGCCTCGGGATGTTGTACGACTGCCGCAAAGACGAACTCATCGCTGGTGAGGACTCATTTAAAAAAAAATAATGCATCACCATCACAATTTCAAGTTATTAAGGTTTTTCATCCAAGATCTTTGTCATTGTTTAAAAACTTTAAAAACATTTGAAATACAACAGTACAGGTTAAAAAAAAGAACACATTTAATTCATCTAGCGCTTTACTGAAATACGCTTTAAAAAACATGACATACAAGCATAAAACAAACATACATACATTAGTCGAAAAACATAATTTTGAGAAAATATTTATCACGTTGGGGGCAAGAGTTGTGACAGTTTAAGGGATATAAGAAATTGTAATTAATCAAACCTGTGGGGTTGGTTCAGACACTGCTATCTCACATTAATATAATGCACATATCATATAAAACTAAGGCACACAATTCTCAAAAGCAACACATTCACCTTAGATAAGCTGTATTAGATACAGGTTTCTTTTTTTATCCATGTAGATAATGTTATTGATAAAAAATGGCCACTTCTCAAGCAGGTGGTTAAAAAGGCAGGTGCTCAAGTCCCCTTTGAGGTCTATCTGTACACCTGCCTGCACCCCAGGTCCGGAACTTAGTCCTGGTGGTCTTTAACCTGTTAAGCCCTCAGCCTGTTTTTCAGGTCTCAGGCTCGAAAATGATATTCCCAGAACAAATGATTATATCTTACCTTTTAAAAGGGGTAAAGTAATAATCTTTTTTCTCAAAGCAATGATAAACCTGTGAGTTGGATGTTGAAAAGTCAGAATCAATATTGATATTTTTATTTTAAAGAAAATTCAGATTGAACATAGTAAAAAACTGTAAATGATTGTGTCCGTCCAAAAATTATTTTTTACTTATACTGAAAACTACCCTTGGATGATGGGTTAGTAGACTAAAAGCTACATACATATAAGTACAACATATAATAATTACCCGGTATCAAGATTGATGCAAAACAAGTGACATTTGACCTTTTTAGAGAGGTTTAGCAAAAATAACTCCACCTCTGGGGTGATTTGGGTGGAAATGGGCGTTTTTGCCGTTTCTCTGGAAACCATTGGTCGATTTTTATGATTGAAATCTCTTTTTAACCGTTAGAGCCAATAGAATCGAAGGAGAATTTCCACATACATACACACCTTACCAAAAAAAAGTGGGGGCTTCGCGCATTCAGTTTTTCCCAGAGCAGACCTGTCTCACGCTCTGAAATCTGAAAACGGAAAAGTAGGTTTTATGCTCATGGATTATCAGAAATCATTTCAGAAAGTGACACAGACACATTGGATTAACCTATGGATTAACCTTCAGCAGCGTGTTTATCGTTTTAATGCCATTGAAGACAAGTTTTGATCAGACAACAACGAAGGTAAGAGATATTGGCGTTTTTGCTACCTAGCGCCACATGTTTTGATGTCTGTTTTTGTTAATATTTTCGCGAGTTCTTCTCATGGAGTGATGATATAGATCGATTCTGTGTCTTCTCACGATATTAAACGAGGGGTTGGATGTGCAGTTACGATAAGTAATAATGGTGTTATGAGTGAGTTTCTGTACAAGCGCTGTTAGCATTTTTTCACTCGTGGCTAATTCAGAGGCTCAGCGCTAGCTTTGTGTTTTTTTTTGCAAAAAATTGTTTTAATGATCAGTTAGCTGAGTTTCTTCCCGTTACATGGATATAAAACATTCATAGTTTATTAAATATTAACCTGTTAAGCCCGAGAGACCCCGGTACCGACGCACCTCCCGCAACATCTTGCAGGAAACAGTGTCTGATGGCATGTTCATTTAATAAACTACGAATGTTTTATATCCATGTAACGGGAAGAAACTCATCTAACTGATCGTTTTTATTTTTTTTTCAAAATAAAATCCACAATGCTAACGCTGAGCCTCTGAATTAGCAACGAGCGAAACATGCTAACAGATTACTGCACCGAAATTCACTCACAAAACCTTATTATTTATCTTTTCTGCACATCCATGACATCGATTCACATCGTGAGGTGACACAGAATCGAAGGGTACCCTCATTATCACTCAATTATACGAAATCGCGACTTTATAAACAAAAATAGACATCAAAACATGTGGCGCTAGGTAGCTAAAAACGCTAACATGGCTCATCTGTGTCTTTGTCTGGTCAAACGTGGTCTTCAATGGCATTAAACTGATCAAAACGCTGCTGAAGTTAATCCATAGGTTAATCCAATGTGTCTGTGTCCCTTTGAAATGATTTCTGATAATCCATGAGCAATAAGACTGCTTTTCCGTTTCTAGATGTCAGAGCGAGAGATAGCTTCACTCTCATGCAAAACTACATGCGCAAAGCCCCCACCTTTTTGTTTTACAACGTGTGTGTGTGGGGGAATCCCCCTTAGATTCTATTGGCTCTAACGGTCAGAAAGAGGTGTCAACCATCAAAATCGACCAAGGGGGGCCAGAGATATGGAAAAAACCCCATTTCCACCCAAATCACCTCAGAGGCGGAGTTTTTTTGGCTAAACCTCTCTAAAAAGGTCAAATGTCACTTGTTTTGCATCAATCTTGATACAGGGTACTTATTATATGTTGTACTTTGGATTCCTAAAGCTTTTAGTCTACCTTACCATCATCCAAGGGTAGTTTTCACTGTAAGTAAAAAAGAATTTTTGGACGGACACTATAATTTACAGTTTTTTACTATGTAAAATCTGAATTTTCTTTAAAATAAAAAACATCTATATTCTTCTGACTTTTCTACATCCAACTCACAGGTTTATCATTACTTTGAGAAAAAAGATTATTAATTTAACCCTTTTAGAAGGGAAGATATGGTCATTTGTTCTGTGAATGTCATTTTCGAGCCTGAGACCTGAAAAACAGGCTCAGGGCTAAATAGGTTAAGAAGCCCTCAGACGCTGTTTCCTGCAGATGATGCGTTTTTCCCCCCCGATACCAGGGGGGTGGACCTCAACAGGTTAAAAAAAGGTCAAATGTCCCTTGTTTTGCATCAATCTTGATACAGGGTACTTATTATATGTTATAGTGTGGATTCCTAAAGCTTTTAGTCTACCATCCCATTATTCAAGGGTGGTTTTCACTATAAGTAATGTGTTTTTTTCAGGTACTGCTGTAGTTAGTGAATTAAAAGTGGCGGACAAACCATTTCCCGGCAGCGACAGGCTTGCTAGCTCCAACCAAATCAATTTCTCCTCTGCTGTCAGCCAACGTGGGTTGAAAAAATAGCTTTCAAATTAAAACACAAATATTGTACCTTGTAGCTGAGGACGCTACAGATGCTGTGTGCCAGCATGTCGCTACCTATAGCTACCGCTACACACGCTAGTGTCTGCTAGCGCTGACAATCCAATAAAAGGATGTGAAAATGCCAACGTCATTGTAGGCCTGCTAGTTAGCCCCGGTGTAGCCAACTCGAAATCGGATTGGTCAATGCAACAGTTTCATTGCCATTTGTTTAAAGGTACAAGCGTCCGCGCTGTTGATTCTGAAGGCCTCAGATGTATTTATTTGAGCATGGAGACCAGCCTTCTAGTAGACTAGTAGTTGGGAAGTGGACATATTAGCTTTAACTAATTGCTAAAGAGCGTTCTACTCAGGTTTCTTTGCAGGTGGAAGAGGATCCAGGTTTTAACTGCTGCACAGGAAGGCATTTTTTTTTTTATCAGACTTTATCCTTAAATGTAGTGTGTATTCACATTTAATCTGATTCTGGGAGCTTCATTTTTGCTTCTTCTTTTGCAGGAATTACTTTGTGGAACCATGAGGACCTTAAAAATGATATTGGAGAAAGACCACAGAGCTATAATGATTGTGATATGGTTGCATCTGAATCAATTGAGGACAAATCTTCAGCACTAAATGTTGAAGCATCGCTGAAGGCAAGTTTCTTGGGTGGACTGATAAATGTTGAAGGATCAGCCAAATACCTGAAAGATACTAAGACTTCCAAAAATCAGGCCAGAGTAACACTGAAGTACCAAGCAACCACAAAGTTCCAACAACTGTCCATGAATCATCTTGGAAAAGACAATTTGGATCATACAGATGTCTTTGAGAAAGGAATAGCAACACATGTAGTCACAGGTATCCTTTATGGCGCACGAGCCTTCTTTGTCTTTGACCGTGAGGTGTCTGTCAACGAGAACCATCAAGACATTCAGGGCAACTTGAAGGTGATGATCAAGAAAATTCCCCATCTTTCAATAGAGGGCGAAGGCTCGCTGAAAATGGAAGACAAGGACAAAACAAATGTTGAGAAATTCTCCTGCAGATTCTTTGGAGACTTTTTGATTCAGAAACCTCCAACATCCTTTCAGGAGGCAGTAGAGGTGTACCAAAGTCTACCAAAGCTGCTGGGAGCCAACGGGGAAAACGCAGTACCAGTGAAGGTCTGGCTGATGCCTCTGACATATTTAAATGATTCTGCCGCTAAACTTGTCCGTCAGATAAGTACAGGATTAGTTGAAGAATGTCAGACTGTCCTGGAGGACTTCAGTGACCTGGACATGAGGTTCAATGATGCACTGAGAACCCAAACTGCACAGCAGTTCCCACAGATTGGAGAAAAACTCAAAACCTTTAAACAGATGTGCTCTGAGTTCAAACTGGAATTCCAACGAACCCTGGCAAAGAAACTGCCATCAATCCGAGGAGGAGGAGAAGAAGAAGCTGTGCTCGCAGAGGAACTGAGGAAGACATGTTCTTCTCCTTTCAACAGCAAGGACCTGAACGAGTGGATGGACTGTAAGGAGAGAGAAATATACACCGTGATGTCTCTGACCGACATGATGACAAACACCAAGATCATCTCATCTCAAACCGACCTCTGCAAAGAAAGCTTCAAAGCAGAGGAGGCTGTGTGTTTTGTCTTCACCTCGCTGGGAAGTGATGAACCGTACCTCTCAACTTTATCAAACTACCTTAAACAAACACCCAAACCAGATGTGGCTCAAGATCCACATCCACCAGATCAATGGTACAACTCAAGAAAAGAAATGGAAGCAATGCGGCATAAAGCAAAGCTCTTCAGTGATTTTGCAGAGGCCAACAAGGATAACAAGAACATTACATTTCTGACAGTGGGTTTAGCAAACGAGACACAGAAAGGTGCCAGCATCCACCTTTATAAAGACGGCTTTCCTGTCAATGAGAACTTTGAGCTGCCTTCAAAGCCTGTAACAGTAACAGGAAGTGATATTGTTTCTCCACCCAGATTTGGAGCAGAGGACATCTCCTCCTACTCTGATGAGTACTGTGTCAGTGTAGAGGACAGCTGGAAACAAAAGACGGGACAAAAACCTGCACATCTCACAGAATTCCTCATAAGTAAAAGCAAAAAGATCAATTCTGAATCTCCCTCAGTTTACAAACTGCCTCTGAAAGAAGACGATCTGGACATCGATGGATGCCGGAGGTACAACTTTGGCACAGAAAGTCTTAGGCAAAATCGCACAATAATGCTTCTCGGAGCAACTGGATCTGGAAAGTCCACTCTGATCAATGGACTCATCAACTACATAGTTGGTGTTGAGTGGAAGGACGATTTCAGATTCAAGTTAGTTGACGAGGATCAGTCGAGATCTCAAGCTGAGAGTCAGACCTCTGAAGTCACTGTGTACAAAATCAACCACCAAGAGGGCTTTAAAATCCCTTTCTCTCTGACCGTTGTTGATACTCCAGGCTTTGGAGATACAAGCATAACAAGATACAAGGAGATCACAGAACAGCTTCTTAATCTCTTCTCTGCCGAGCATGGCGTCAGTGAAATTGATGCTGTGTGTTTTGTAGCTCAGGCTTCTCTAGCTCAGCTCACACCAACACAGAAGTATGTGTTTGATTCTGTGCTCTCCATCCTTGGCAAAGATGTGGCAGAAAACATCCAGGTTCTGGTGACATTCTCAGACGGCCAACCCCCACCAATTCTAGACTCGATCAAAGCTTTAGGTGTCCCATGTCCTAAAACAGAAGACGGGCTGCCAGTTAACTTCAAATTCAATAATTCTGCCTTGTTTGCACAGAACCAATCATCTGCTGCTGCTGACTCGAGTGTGGATGAGGAAGATGGAGGCTTTGATCAGATGTTCTGGAAAATGGGGGCACAAAGCATGAAGAGGTTCTTTGTTGCTCTCAATAAGATAACAACCAAAAGCTTGACAATGACAAAGGAAGTCCTCAGAGAACGACAGCAGCTCCAGATCTCAGATCTAAATTTAAAAAAAAATGTTGAAACCTTGGATCAAGTGTGGTATTTTACAGGATTTCCTCACAGCAAGGTTTTTGATGCTATAAATCTCTCTTTTGTTGAAATAATTAAGGGGTCTCTTGAGTGTCAGAGCAGACTTGAAAAGATAGCACTGGTTCCATATCCTCCAGACTACATTGGCTTGCGCATTGAGGGAGAGAAAGCTGAGGCCAAGGAAGGCTGGGAGAAACGAGTCCAGTACCTGATGGAGAGGAGAGGAAAAGCAGAAGCAGAGCTCATGGCTCAAGAACAATCTCAAACCTAGGGCAAAATCAAGACCAGCTCCAACTAAGACCAAAACAAGAGCTAAACATGATATCAAAGAAGAGACGTGTATATACAAAATTAAACAAGACAGGATATTGAGTGATACTGATCAAGAGTCCTTGATGACCAACACAACCAAGTGACCATGATGATCATGGAACATGTATTTTTATTTTCTGTTCTTACAAAGTTATCGTTTAACTGTTTTTTTAATCATGAAGGATTACATTTTTTAAAGCAAGTTGGTTCGTCTTGAAGAAATGCTGAAGGAGACAGCCGAGAGAAGCTCCTCCAGAGTCCATAGTGATCACAAATCCTTTTGATCAAAACCAAACCAAGACCAAACAGATGCCAGCAAGACTAAGAGGAGATCTATCAACAAACTGGAAGACGTCTGTGTTTTTATATCTGAGATGATCTCACCAACCCTGGGACCCATCGACTTCCTGTTTGGCATGTGTGTTGCTATGGACCAGGGGGAGGTGCTGCCCCGTGTGAGGCTCTTTGGATCAGCGGTTATGTAGGAATATGAGAAAACCCGGTCCACCCAGCGCTGAGGTGGAATGCAGTTCAAAGTGAAATATTGGAATCTTTACTTCACGACTCCACTCTTTACTGTTCTGCATCGGGTACCTTTACATTTATTACTATAGCTTCATTTTGATTATACTTTTACATACTTTTACCTATGTGACATTTTGAATGCAGGGCTTTTACTTGTAACAGTATCTATTCTATACAGTGTGGTATTATAACTATAACCGAAGTAAAGTATCTGAATACTTCTTCCGTCATTGATACAAAACGTGAAGTCCAAATAGACCCGCACTTAGAGCTCTAGTGTTAATCAATGAATTATAATGCTTTATTTTTCTCCTGCACAAACATCTTCCTGCAGGAGTAATCTGCATGTTCTGTTTGATAGAAAGTAAAATGTACCATGTGTATGAAATGTTAAAGTGTGATTGTTTTGTGCAGAAATCATTAACGTCCTGACACCATTACCACCAATGTAAAAGATTAAACCTGCAAGTTTATTAAAAGTTATGTTTATTTTCTATTATGATCATTTACAAATATCAGATTATTACTAAATGTTCTTTTCTGCTCTTTGTTTTATTTTCTTTGAGATTTGAAAACTTGACATGAGTTTTGTTAATGATTGATTGTATTGTGAGTGTCCTAAAATGATATGGTGGCTCCTGCTGGATGATGGAGACGTTTCTAAACGTTAAACAATAACTCAGACTAATGGAAAGTGTATTTTAATCAGAACAACATATATGAGTTTAAGGAGATTAAAGAAGATCTATCAACAGCTGAAAGGAAAAAGTATAACTGTTAAATATTGTATTTTTCACATAAAGTTTGAATGTATTTCCATTGTAATCGGTTTACCCTGTTGTTGTTTTAACCGGGTTATCAGCTTCCTGCTTATTTTAACAGTTTATTTACTATTAGTTTAATATTCTTTGAGTTTTAAAAACATTATACCTGATACTGATGTGTATTGATTAACATGTACTGACAGATGGAGAAATCATTAATTAACAATAAATAAATGTAATTTTGTCTCAAATGTTTCTGGCCTTCTTTATCTCCTCGTTTCAAAGTCTCAAAACATTTACCCAAATACTGAAGTTCAGTTTAGAGGTACTTTCACTTTACTTGAGTATTTCCATGTTACTTTATATGTTACCTCTTCAAGTTAGATTTCAGAAAATCTCTAAATCTCCATGTAATCACTAAAGAAGAACATGATTAGACTAATTGCAGAGTCATTAAAATGAGCAGAAATAATGTTAATCTCCAATAGTGTGTCTGACCCTGCAGTGTAAATGTTCCCTCACTTTAGATCTGAGAATGTATTGAAGGGTAGCCCCTTGAGATGGAGCATCTCATTGTCGAGGGGTCCTAAAACATAAATACACAAATTATAATAAATAAATCTGGTTTAAATGAATACATTTAATATTAAACTATCTTTAATATTATAATGTTGCATGTTAGAAAGATGCAAACAACTAGAATATATTATTATGCTATTGGTTAATATTATTTAATAACTTCCTGATGGAGGGGTTGATAACTTCCTGATGGAGGGGTTAATAACTTCCTGATGGAGGGGTTAGTAACTTCCTGATGGAGGGGTAAGCGAATTGTGCATCCTATGTACAAGGTTAACATTGAAAGTGTTGATGATATGTCAAAATGCGTCTCAATGTACATGTTACTCCAGCTGCCTATCAGTTTACTCCACTCAAATGGTGCAAAACTCGCGTTCCATGGACAGACGTGTAAAACACTCAAATTCCAATAGATGGAGCTCTAGACTAATTTATAAAATTTGTAAAAATGTTGTTAAGTCTGAAAAACACGCTATTTTGGATGATAAATAGGTTAATATGGTAAACAAGGGCGCACGACCCGCAAACTTCGTGGGTGTGTTCCAACGGGTACAAAGTGTTAATATACCAAGTTTGATGGACCTGTGATGTCTGTAAATATTTGAATTAAAACAGTTTAATCGAGTTTGAGCACTAATATACCCATGTTTTTAACACTTTAGCGGGGTAAACATGTTATCTTTTCACCCTGGGTGTGTGAGACAAGTGAAACCACACTTAACCTCTTAAGCACGGCGGTCCCCCCATTGGACCCCTCCCACCGTTTTTTTTTCGAGATAATGTCTCAGGGCTTCTTAACATTTATGAAATTATTAATGTGTAGCACCAGATTAACGGGAAGAATCTCAGCTAACTGAAGATATGAACCATTTTTATCAAAACAAAACACAAGTCTCATAAGAAGTGTCTAAATGACCCCTGAGCTAAAATATTCTAACGCACTGCGGCACACAATTCAAGATAAAGATACCCTTATTACTTATCGTAGCTGCACATACAATATAGCCGATTAAAGCTGAGACTCCACAGATTATTTAGGTATAGTATCATCACTGAGCGATCCGAACTTGCGACAGGGGAAGCAAACACAGACATCACAACACGTATCTTTACGGAGCATTTACGGCAGATCGTCTCACCGTAGCTGTCAATTAGGTAAAAAGACGTGTTCAATGGCATTAAAACGAAAAACAAAAATGCTACAACTGTTGATCCATAGGTTGATAATGTACCTGTGCCTTTGAAGAAATTATTTATAATCCATAATTCCATTTTTTATGTAAAGATCGGAGCGGAAAAGTTAGCTGCTAATGGTAGCCACCAGAGTGTATGCAGCTTCCGGTTTTGGTAACGCGTCACTCTCACTCCTTATTTGTTAACGTTTTGGTGTGTATATAACTTTCCCTCGATTCCATTGGCTCTAGCGGTTATAAAGAGATTTCATTCATCAAAATCGAGCAAGGGGGGCCAGAGATAGGTCAAATCCACCCAAATGACCCCAGAAGTGGGGGTTTTTGGCTAAATCTCTCTAAAAAGGTCAAATTTCACTTGTTTTGCATCAATCTTGATACAGGGTACTTATTATATGTTGTACTTTGGATTCCTAAAGCTTTTAGTCTACTAACCCATCATCCAAGGGTAGTTTTCACTATAAGTAAAAAGAATTTTTGGACGGACACTATAATTTACAGTTTTTTACTATGTAAAATCTGAATTTTCTTTAAAATAAAAAACATCTATATTGATTCTGACTTTTCTACATCCAACTCACAGGTTTATCATTACTTTGAGAATAAAGATTATTAATTTAACCCTTTTAGAAGGGAAGATATGGTCATTTGTTCTGGGAATGTCATTTTCGAGCCTGAGACCTGAAAAACAGGCTCAGGGCTTAAGAGGTTAAAACCTCCGGAATTAAAACATTATAATCGAGTTTGAGCATGAATATACCCATGTTTTGAACACTGTTGCGGGATAAACATGTTATTTGTTCACCCTGGGTCTATGGGTCTCTGAGACCCTGCTAACAGCAGTGACTCTGCTGCCTGCATTTAAACAGATTCACCCATTTATAACATTACTTTAGCCCTGATCAAAGCCATGTTTTCTGGGTAACACAGCGAGGTGCTGTACCCTGGGTCTCTGATACCCTGCTAAAAGCAGTGATTCTGCTGTTTTTAGCTTCTTGGACATTTAACGACATAAATTTGATTGATATGTACATTTTCCTGTCTATACTGACATGTTTATGTACATAACTCTGTATGTTTATGTCGTTAAATGTACACTGTCTAAAAACGACTATTATGACTGAATTAAAACAGTTTGACAGTATTTTAACACTCATGTAGCCATGTTTGCAGCCCTGTTCACTGGGTAAGAAGTGAATTACCCTCTCCTGTTGAATTAAAACATTTCCCACGACTCTGACCACTAATGTACCCATGATTCAGACACTTATTCCTGGGTAAATATGTTATCTTTTCACCCTGGGTGTGTGAGACAAGTGAAACCACACTTAACACCTCCTGAATTAAAACATTTCCCACGACTCTGACCACTAATGTACCCATGATTCAGACACTTATTCCTGGGTAAATATGTTATCTTTTCACCCTGGGTGTGTGAGACAAGTGAAACCACACTTAACACCTCCTGAATTAAAACATTTCCCACGACTTTAACCACTAATGTACCCATGATTCAGACACTTATTCCTGGGTAAATATGTTATGATTATCACCCTGGGTGTGTGTATTTCTGCCTGTGAGTGTGATACCCTGCTAAAAGCAGTGATTCTGCTGTTTTTAGCTTCTTGTACATTTAACGACATAAATGTGATTGATATGTACATTTTCCTGTCTATACTGACATGTATATGTCCATAACTCCGTATGTTTATGTCGTCCAATGTACACTGTCTAAAAACGACAATAATGAGTGAATTAAAACATTTTGGCATCTCATAGGCGGCCTGCCATGCGCACCCACCCGTGGAAAGGAGAAAAAAGTGAAGAAAACGGTTAATTATATCGTAAGATAATAAAAAATGAGCTCTGAAAAGCTTAACCCTTCGGGGCTTGGGCCTTAATTTCCCCTTCTCCGTTGCAAATTGCTACGGAGAAGGGGAAAAAGTGCCAAACTGTTGAGCCCCTAACCCGTTGGCACTCTGTCATTTTTTTGAGAATTTTTCAAAACTTCATTTTTGATTATTTTAAGATATAATTAACCGTTTTCTTCACTTTGTTTTGCTTTCCACGGGTGGGGGCGCATGGCAGGCCGCCTATGAGCACCCAAATTCGGCCTGGATCATCCAGGATTTGTGGGCTAAGCTCCATAAACTGACTAAATCACCCAGCACCCCGGATAACTACCAGTTCATCTGGTTTAAATGTGGTGGTGATAGTGGCATTAACTAGTACCCAGTACTGGGAGAGAACCAGGCTACAGCACATGTCTTTTCAACCCAGGAATAAGTGTCTGAATCATGGGTACATTAGTGTTTAAAGTCGTGGGAAATGTTTTAATTCAGGAGGTTTTAAGTGTGGTTTCACTTGTAGCACACACTGTAAGAAATTAAAATCAATATTCAATGATGTAATTTAGCGTAAACACATAGTAAGCTTTAAAAACTGTTTTTATTCTGAAAACAGTTCTGAGTAAAGTTTATTTTGAAAAGCTGTATCTAAAGACGTTGACAACAATGACGACTTCCTGTGCTACAGTATCAACGATCTCAGCCGTTAAATAATGACCACTTCCGGTACTACGAGAGTAACGATTACAGCCGTTATAATGCATTAAATAAAAAGTCATGAAAGAGAGTAGGAGGAGAAAAGGCGTGTGGAAGTGAGCAATGAATACAAAATGTCGAAATCCTCTGTTATGCGCGATCTCGGACATTGAAGATCGAGGTGGGTGGCCCCCTACGTCACAGCCCCCAGAGAGGAGGAGCGAAGGAGAGATGCAAGCGGGAGAATCAACGTGTGCTCGCTCTCTTTCCACGGTACCAGCTGCGGGACAACATCTGCTTTTGTCTCCCCAACTACCCTTTGTTTGTTTCACTACCACGCTGCTTAAATTAAAGTAACCAATTTGAACCCTTACAGAGACTAATTTGTCTCTTAATCTTTAAACTTCTTTAAAATGCACAGAATATGTGCATTTTCAGGAGAGCGTCAATGTTAAATGATATCGTGCAAAATGACTGGCTAAAACCCAGGAATAAGTGTTTGAAAGGCGGGGAAAAGTTGTTTAAAATAGTCTGATACCTCAGGGTGCATCACCAAAACTTTACAAGCCAGGGATTGTGCCTGAATCCTGGGTATACATTTTGTAAATAGTATGATACCTCCAGGGCGCATAACTGCACTTTACAAGCCAGGGAAGGTGCCTGAATCCTGGGTACACATTGTTTAATTGTTTAAGTGTTTTTAAATGTATGGAACAGTGTTTTGTCTCTTTCAAAACTCTCCCGTCATTGGCCGGATACATGGGGTCGATTTTATATTCACTATGACCGTTAATATTCCAGTGAGATATGGGAGTGATCCCATGTTAATTTTGTCCGAAAACCAGAGCATTCCCTTACCCTGAAAAGTATTATCATCTGAAATTAATCATTATGTTATTAGTATTAAATACAT